ATATATATATATATATATATATATATATATATATATATATATATATATATATATATATATATGTATGTATATATATGTAATTTTTTTTATACAGGGTGTCCCAGACACCCTCCGCAATTGTTGTAGGAACGAATCAAGGTGAACATAAAAGTCATATACGTTGAATCGCCAAAGTAATAACAATTGAATCCCGCTACGAATGAACCGGCGTTCTTCTCAGACATGTATATATACATTAGAGTTAATCTCTACCGCTAATTGATCTGGTACCGAGTAGCTATCCCGGATATTCGTAGCTTAAGAACATCGTGATAAAAGCTTAATAGCTTGCGCAACGCGGGGTAATTGCTCTTTCCTTTTTCCGTGATTGATGTACCGATTAACTGCTCGTACAATCGACTCGATGCCATAAATCCGATTTAACCTCAGCCGTGTACTCGATCTTGACATAATTCCACCGATAGATACCGTGTACCATACTGTGCGCATAACCATCGATTATCCGACCGTCAATATTATTAAGCCGTTGTGATATTAAGTGATACACGGGTAAATGAAATCATATAAAACGTTCGTGGAAATTTTCATGTTTTCTTTTTCTTTTAGTTAGATAATATATCATCTTTTTAAATATCGGTCCATCGGATTGGTTCAACTAATCCGTATTTAGGATACATTAATCAGGCTATTTAATGAGAAATGAACGAATTGTAATTTTAGTTAAAGTAACCAGATAAATTTTACATGCATTTTGGCTAAAGTAACCAGACAAAAATTTGGTTTTACAAAAATTTATATTCACATTTCTTACCAAAAATTTTATTACATTTTAACTGAAAATTGTTTCTTAAGATGTTAATATAATTAAGTTGTTAATATAATTAAGATATTAATATATAATTATTTTGTTTAAAATTAGCCATTTAATTCGATGTTGTATTACATTTGAGAAACTCAATAATTGAAGAATCATTTCTCCAATTGACAGATCTGTTATATATTGTCTATCTGCGTTACAATCAGCGTTGAATACGTGATTATAACAGCCAAAGATTCTATTTAGTTCGTCGTTTAACCAAACGTCGTTTAACCAAACATATCACGTTAATTCAACCAGGCTCTTTCTTTTCGCGCAGGATTTTTTGCGGCGACTCATCGCGAACACGTGTTTGTCTAAGCGACTTCCACTTTCTCAAGTAACAAAACATATCAAGAGGAGTAGATTTTTACGCGTGACCGGAGAGAAGGGGTTCATCGCATGAACTTCCCGACAAAATTATCGAGTAAACGACCCGAAGACGCCGGCGGCGTAGAGGATGCGCTGAAATTTCATTAATTTAACACCAGCCCTTAATGCATTCGCGCGAAGTCGACGTAGCTAAAAGCGGCCCCTAAATCGCTCGAAAGAGCGCGTTCAGCAAAGCTCGCGCACGAAATATTCAAGCCCGCATTCGTTCGAAATTAACATGAGCTAGTCGTGAAATAATGAACGAACGCTCGACCTGAAGTCCAAAGCGTGGACCGCGCGACGGCAACATCTGGCGCGGATACTGTGTGATACTAAATATATTATACGGAAGCGCGGGTGTGTATATCTCGAATGTGCCGGCACCAAAAGTGCGTCAGGGGCTGCCTGCGGGCTGCCTGCTAGCCCGGCCCCTGTCTCTGATGTTTATTGGCACTGAGAGTACCCACCACACGTACTAAAATTAATGATACCTTGTTTAGATTATAATCCACGGACGCGCGCAGTTAGCCTACGGTAATCTGCCGTTGCAATCAGGCCACGCTATTTAACCCTAGCGCGACCTAGTCTCGGACCGTAAGGCGACGGCGGCGGGTTTAAAAGCGGGTCAATAAAATAACGGCGTTATAAGCGAATCCGCGAGATTCGTAAAACGCGAATCAAAAGCGACCAACGGTCCCGCGGGCAAAAAGGCAAAAATACAGGAAAATACAGCTTGTTTGAGCGAATTCACGCGAGGCACTTTTCTCTGCCTCTCTTTCTCCTTCTTTCTTTTTTCCTCTCGAACGACAATCGATATTTTAAAAAAGTAACACTATTATGACATATAGGATAAAATATATAATTATTGACATTCCCCTGATTTATTAGTCCTTAACACTCTAGGAAACCTTAGTTTTTCTTGCAACCAGTATTGCAATTAAATTACTTGCCTGCACTCAATGATTTCATAAAAAAAATGAACCACCTTCAAAAACTTAAAAGTCCCTGAAATGATAAGTGATAATATTGATTCAATATTATGTTTTAATATACTAACTATATTAGAAGTCGACGCGAAAACCTATCTATTTGTTTCAATAATTAAAATCTTTTTTATTATTTATCTTTCTACGTTTATATAATACAGATAATATCATTAGATTTTTTACTTCTATTTTACTTTTATATAAGAATATTGATTTAAAATTATATCATATTTTCTAAGGCTTGTGAAACTTTTAAAGACGATTAATTTCTTTTTAATTTTTAATTATTTTCTGAAAGTATTTGTTTTTGAAGTCGGTTAAAATAAGAATTTCGTATCTCTAGATATCCTCGAATTTTCAAGTAAATAGTGGAATTACCCAATTTCTACATGTCACCTGTACAAACCTGAATAATCTAAGAATTATGTAAATAAAACATAAAAACTGAAAAAGCTACGAAGAATTTTTATCTTAATGTCTTTAGTTATATGAGGGAACTTTAGTTATATAAGGAACATAGAAGCTAACAAATATACATACATAACAAACAAACGTAAATAGATAAACTGAAAACTTTCTTTTTTTGACGTCGGATAAAAAGAGATGTTCATAACTAAAATTGTGAGCAAATCACGCAAGAAAAATCTGGTTTATTCAGAGTGTAAATGATTAAGGGGAATGTCAATAATTGCGTGTTTTACCCCGCACATCATGGTGCTTATCACACGATTGTCGATAATAAACCTCGACGACTTTGCAAGATTGCCAATGACAAATGAACGAACGAGGAATGAGAGGAAAAAGAAAACCCGAACGATAGGATAAACATCCTATGACACCCGTGTCGATCCAAATAAGATCGCGCAGTTTGCGATCGACGGGATATACGTCCTACAATCCGTCTCGTGCAACGCCGGCGATGTCCGATGCAGATGCAGCGGAGGATCGGTGCCAAATACGTTATACGGGCCGCAGGAAATGGGCACGTAGATCCCAGATATGGCGCGTCCTCCAGCGCGGCATGGGCGCCCGGTCTGGTCAACTTCTGGCCCTGATGTTTATTCGGCGCGAGTGGAAGCGCCGACTGCGCTTGTCGTTCGAATTAATTTACCGCTTGCGGGCCTCCGGTCTCTTCACACAGATATAGACGGCGGCGGGAAGAGAGACATGGGGAGGGGGAGAGAGAGAGAGAAGGAGAGAGGGAGAGAGAGAGAGAGAGAGCGCAATGAAAGAGACAGGAAGAGGGACAGAGAGAGAGAGATGGAACGAGCGGAGTCTCGGCGGTGTCGTTCGACTTCATTTCGTTAGAGACCGCACGAGCAGAGATGCATACACGACCCCGCAGCGTTCCGCTAGACCGGAATTAAGCCGGAATTTTGCTTAAATTAATTTTTTTTCCGCGCGTTCCAAGCTCAAACGGCGGCATTTACATTTGCGGGGCGAAAAAAGGAAGTTCGCGCGGCGTCGGGATAGAGTAGCCTTGCTTAAACGGTCTTTGCTTAAACGAACTTCGTTCAAGTGTTCCTCGTATAAACAGATCCGCGCGCGTATTTACCGAACGAATCTACGCCATCTCTGCGTGTTCTCGCTC